CCAACATAAAAAAAAAAAACTTCTTTTATCATGTGTGATGAATGGGGGTGCTCTTCCAACACTGAACATACAGGCGTGTAGAAAAATTGCTTTCCTACACGAAAAAGTGATTTGTGGACATCCCATATTTGACACATACGAGACAAATAAGGAGATTATAGCCCTCTACAATATTGAGAACATTTCCGATGATTCATTCCTGATTTTATCATCAAGAGATATTTCTAATACACGGCAGAGATGTGATATAAAAGGTTGTAGTGGCAGTTTTATGTGGGGCTGAATTTTGACTACACAAACAAATAAGGAGATTTAGTTATTTTATAAAATGTCACCATCTCATTTCCGTGGGAGGCATGGACACAGGTAGAAGTACATAAAGCCGACCTCTTTTTTTCTGTCCGCCATTAGCACCATTTGGTACAAGTAATGGCTTCTCTGTCTTCTTACCGAATATGTGCCAATTTACAAAATGGATGTGCCCCAATGCAAATATGGGCTCAGTTTGTCTTTTTACCGCCATTTGCACCATTTGACTCAGTTTGGAAAGAGTACAAATACAAATATGTAGAGTGTAAAGTCTTATATTTTGTATTATTTTGTATGTATTTGCATTTGTACTCTTTCTAAATTGAGTAAGTGGAATCGAGAATGCAATGGGCAGTTCGGTAATGTTTTCTCAGGTCAGGCCTTAATCGGTTCAGGACAGGGTGGACCCGGTACCGACTTAATAATAATCGAGATAAGAAATTAGGAATCGAAAACAACCCATTGGTACAAATATTGGAACTAGAACCAATCTAATCGGTCCAGGTCCGTCAGATCAGACCCGACCCATTGACAGCCCTAGCCCAAGGTTCGAAATTTCAATACAATATGCCTTATAGATATGAAATAAGGGAGTTTTGAGAAATCATTTTTTACTCTCGATAAACCCATTTGAAGGGATTTTTTATAAAACATTTTTTAACAAATAAAATATATAAAATAATACCAATCTACAAAATTTTGAAAAAGAAAATTTTAAAAATAGAAGATAAAGGTTCAAAGTATCAATACACCATCGGGATGTATCAATATTTTGAAAAACGTAGTGAAATAGAGTGATGATAGGTTGTTTTTTTATCCCTAAAGCGCTGGTTGAGAATTTGATTCCACGTAACACTGGAACAAACCAGTAAGACACCAACAAGCCAGCCCTTGGTTGATTATAGTATAGGTTGTATTTGGTACCATTCCTATTTCTACCTTGCATGTTTTAGGTTAATCTATTAAATGTGAGATAGATTTTTTTCTTGAAACTTTTTGGATTGATCAAATCAAATTATTGTTTCTATTTGAAATATCAATTTTGACACTTCAATTATAAATGTCAATGATCAATTGAAGTGATCTCACATGTGATGTGACAATAGTAATGCTCATTATATTATTTCTGCATTGATACAGTTAGGCATGTAACAGTTAAGGATCATAGGTTAGAGGAGTTCAGATGATCTTAGAGGACCACCACCTAAGGGGTTCGCTGTATCTTCAACCACTGCCCACCAATGATAAAGCTAAGTTACAAAATTCAAATAATTTAGGCATGTCTGCCCAAGTCGAAATTGTTACAATTAACAAAGCTAAATTGTCAAACCTTGCATTCTTTAGTTTTGAAATTGTCATGAAATCATCCAAATATACCTTCAGTTCAAATGGTAAATTTGTAAGTGCGTCCTATAATTCCTAATAATGCTCAACTTTGCTGATGTTTTGCACATGTAACATGTGGGATCTTGTTTAGAGGGGAAAAAAAAAAGAATGACCGGGCAAATTGGAGTCCACACACTTGATGGCTGTGTAACCAATAAAAACGCCCCACGTCATCCACAGTCTATATGCCCCATAATCACTCAACCTCTCACTTAGCTCGGGTGGCTGATGTGGAGCATTATTATTTGTTACACAGCCCCTAACACAAGAGTCCAGATCACCTACCAATAAACCATGCTCCAACCCTCTACCAACATGATCTTACACAGCACATTTCATACATGGCGAGTTCCATTTTTATAGTGAGTCACAATCTCATGGTGAGATGTATGGTGTTAGATCAAGTTGGTAGAGGGTTGGAAGGTATTTTGTTGGTAGAAAATCTGATGCGGTACAGGAAAAGGCTAATAAGTTCTATACAATGTTATGGGCCCGCGTGTAGGATCTTGTCACGGGTCGGTCCACCGGGAGAGACTCCTATCTTCCCTTGCCCTTGCGTACAGACCCTATTGTGGCAATCGCGTGAGTGATTTGTCTAAGAGATCACCCGAACTCTCGTAACACCTTTTTTGGTTGAAAACTGGATGCCTTTACTTCAATTCGTAGCTCCTTAAATAGGAAATTACAGAAGGAAACTCCTTGTTGGATTCGGCTAGGCTAGGTAATCCAACTTAACTCAAACTCCTAATTACCTACTCCTAATGGTAATACAACTCTTACTTAAGATAAGATAAGATAAGATAGGATAAGGGATGAGGAATGGAGTAGCTGGCGGCGAGTTGGCGAGTAGAGCTGATGTGGTAAGATAAGTGCGGACCCACCCTGATGAGCTGTCGTGTGGGCCCCGCCCTACTGCTGTTGTCAGGCGGCGCGTGCGTCTCACAGTGCTGCTGCCGTGCGGTGCGTGCTGTTGCCATGCGGCGCGTATTGTGCGTTGCCGGGCGGTGCGTGCTGCGCGCTGCCAGGCGGTGCGTGCCGCTGCTTATGACTGCGCCGCAGTGTGCTGTCGGGCGGTGTGTCCATAACATACAAGTTGGGATCACTCCAAGACACAAGAAGCTTGGATGGCGTCACTTATCCAACCGAATAATCAATTATTGAGTTAGCGCCAGTACAAAACTTCTATCTTAATTCAAAATTACCAAGTTAGTGCTAGTGTAGAACTCCTATCTTAGTTTGAAATTACCAAGTTAGCATCAGCACAAAACTTCTATCTTAGTCAAATGTACCAAGTTAGTATCAATGCAGGGCTTCTTTTCTAGTTCAAAATTACCAAATTAGCATTAGATCGTGATTTCTAATTTTTTTTTTCAATTAAGACTTTTTTTTTAAGAATTTTATTATGAAATATTTTTATAGATTAGGAAACTTTCTTGTAAGAGCCATAAGGGTGTAAATATATATAAAGGCTAAGTAAGACAAAGCTATGATAGTTTTGGATGTTGATTTTTTTCTTCTTTATTCAACTTTTGCTCTTTTCTTTGAAACTTCTCTTAACGTTATTTGTTATTTGTTTCCGTACTGTGCCAAGATATCAACTCCTAACGCAACCATCAAGTTCAGCTACTCTGTTTCTTTAATGTGATATTAATTTCAAACACCCATATTTTGGAATCAAGAGTGGCCCCAGTTTTCATGAATTGACACCCCATGAAATGGTTAAGTTAGTGAGACCATCTAAGTATTTTTCATTTTGACTGAAGCCTCTATGAGTTATTTCATTTTTTAATTGTCCTAACATTCATACTATTATCTTTTCTTCTCAAATTGTACATATTTCTTTATCTCTAAAGATGTGATTGAGGAGCTTTACCATTAATGGTCACATGTGAATGATTGTTTTCTCCCTCCTAAAGTTTAATTTATTTGATTGATTTAGAGAGAGAGAGAGAGGCCAAGTATCAAAACATGGAATCCAGTCACGAGGCTCATGGGTTGACCCACCAAACCAACTCAAAACTCCTCAAATGGGTGGTCTCTCAATCACTCATTTGATTTCAACAAAAAACTACTAAAAACAACTCTACAAAATACAGAGTTGTAGACAAAGGTGGTGTCCCTTTCAAGGGCCCTGAAGTTTGTGAAACAAAAGAGAGGACTGGACTTTATACCAAACAAATAAAAAAGACGAAATTTAAAGTTAAGTTCCTTGGGATAAGCTACTACTACTCACGTGATTCTCTTGCCCTTATCACGCTAACCTGCCTCACCTTCACCACATTTCTTGGAAATAATGAAACCTGTACCACAGATTGAACAGCATACTGCTCACCATTTTAAGGTCGTGTGGAGCCCTTTCCTGCAAGTTAAGCTGGCTTCACTTTTTACTTCCTGTACCTAAACGAACATGAGTGGTGCTTGCCGTGTGGTTCTTTTCTTTTCTTTTTTTGTTAAACTTTTCCGACTCTCTATCTCAAAATAACCACACAAGGTTAGGATAAGTGACCCAAATTTGCCAACCTGTGACTAGAAAATCTTAAAAGTGATGGGGTTAGGGCTCTTCAACACCTTATATTTCATGTGAACAAATGAAGAACATATACCGAGTCCCCCTGGTTTTCAAAAGAATTAAATTAAAAATCACAGAAATTCTCTTCCCCTTTTGGTCTCAATGTATAGATTTACTAGCTTTTTTCCTCTATCTTCTTCCCTTTTTGGGAGGGTTGGGGGTGTTGGGATGATTAGATTTGGCTCAATCTTCTTGTTGAAACTTCTCAGTCACTCCTTTTACCAAAAGAGAAACTTCGTGGTGACTTCAGTTCTGATGTACATTAATGTGACTGGGATTGATATTTGATTGACATAACCCTTTCTGCTTCACAAGCCATACACATCACTGCATAAAACTGAATAACTATTAACAATCATGTTGATCCAGAGAAATCAATATATAGTAACACAGCATAACAATCCAAACTACTCTACAACTCTGGTTTAGAGGAGACATACCTGAAGCAAAGCATGGACAAGAGTGCAGATTAGAGGGGCCCATATGTCAATTTCAGATAGAGATGGATGGAAGCATAAACCAATCTCATATGCATGATATGTCCAACAGAAGACGCGGTTGGATTTTATGGTGTGAAACGTTCCCACACTTATGGTCCTGATTGCATTTCATAAACCATTCTCATCTCAGGTTTACCAAAGAAAGAAGGGATTAAGTTGAAACTTATTTGGATTATATGGTATGAAACTCCGCAGGAAATATCCAATTGACCCACATGACATCAATAATTCAATTTCATCCTCCATTTCTCCATGCTCCAAACATACTGAATTCCAAGACTCCTGCTTGCTTTTAGTTTTGGATTTGAAATGAAAAAGCCACACTATTTTCTCTTATCTTACCCATCCAAGTCTTTCATATATATGATTCATGCCTTTGTTGACGAAGCACTCACTACCACCATCATCTTCTGCACGACCTCTCGACCAGAATATCTCTGCAATTGCATCAGAGAGAACCTCTTATCCTCCACTTTCGGTGTTCCCCCTCCAAATCAACTCTATTGTCTTGATCTTTCTTCTACTTCCTTTCTTCTTTTTACTTTTACTTTTTGATTACTTTTTTCTGTACAGAGAAGAACATTCTCTTCCTTTCCTTTGTCTTTTTTATTTATGACCCACTGATCTACGCTTTTCCAGCCTAATAAGTTTGGTCATGTTCAAAGTAAAAGAAACAGACCTTAGCCCGTGTCACCAGTTTAGCTATTTATAACCACTCCTCAAGCCTTACCTGATGAAGGTTTTCCACTAGTTTTCTCAATAATAATAGTACCCTCAAAGGAAACTTGAACAACAAAGATGCCATTTTCCTATGCAAAATCTTTCTTGCAACGGTTTTGTAGCAACGACCTTCAAATGGATACTAGTAACCACGGCTTCTTCTCCAGTGATCTCTTACCATCTCTTGGAGCCAGGATTAACCAAGAAACCAAGCTTAGAAGATACATCATTTCTCCTTTCAATCCACATTATAGGTGACAAACCACACAACTGTTAGTTTCATATTGCTATTTTCTCTTCCAAGGCAAATATAGTAAGACAACGAAAGCATCACTTTTTTTTTTTTTTCCATTACTCCAGGGCTTGGGAGATGTTTCTGATTGTTCTGGTCATATACTCAGCCTGGATCTGCCCATTTCAGTTTGCATTTTTAACATACAAGCAAGACACACTGTTCATCATTGATAATATTGTCAATGGATTCTTTGCCATTGACATCATTCTAACCTTCTTCGTTGCTTATCTTGAACGCCGATCCTATCTTCTGGTTGATAACCCCAAGAAAATTGCTGTCAGGTCAGTTTTGAGCAGGTTCACAGTTCTGCAAATGATCCAAGTATATTATTTATTCTCTTCAAGTCATTCCTGTCTTCCCTACTATAATTTTGTCTTTGACAATGAAACTAGTCTTTCTAAAATAAACTGCACTTACATGTAGGTACATATCAACCTGGTTCATCTTTGATGTCTGCTCAACAGCACCAATTCAACCTCTTAGTCTCCTTTTCACAGATAGCAGCAGCAGCCTTAGTCTTAAAGTACTCAGTATGCTTCGTCTGTGGCGTCTCCGACGGGTCAGCTCCTTGTTTGCAAGGTGCATCATCAAATTCAGATCTCTTTCACTATCCACATTTGAAATGCTTTCAATGGAAGAACAATAATATGGATTAAGCTGGTTTGCTTTCATCCAGACTTGAAAAGGACATACGCTTTGACTATTTTTGGACTCGGTGCACAAAGCTTGTCTCAGTAAGCCTCTTAAGATTTTTGCCTTTTCCTTTTGGTTGCTCCAACCTAACATCTTTAGCTCTATCAAAGTTACACTTCCTCTCTGTTTAAATGCAGGTAACTTTGTTTGCAGTACACTGTGCCGGATGCTTTAACTATCTGATTGCTGATAGATATCCTAATCCAAAGAGAACCTGGATAGGTGCTGCAATGCCAAATTTTAAAGAAGAGAGTCTGTGGAACAGATATGTGACTGCAATGTACTGGTCTATTACAACACTAACTACAACTGGTTATGGTGACCTACATGCTGAGAATCCAAGAGAAATGTTGTTTGACATTTTTTACATGCTATTCAACTTGGGATTGACAGCTTACCTCATTGGCAACATGACAAACCTTGTTGTCCACTGGACCAGCCGCACCAGAAATTTTGTATGTTTTCCTTCTTTTTCTTTTATGAATAATCTCTATGTTCTTCACTTTCAAGAACTTCCTCTTGCCAGCAGAAATAGTTGTAGAGATCCTAGTAAGAAGACCAAAATAAATTTGATTACCAGCTACTACTACATGGACCATTGCTCAGGGTGTAAAATAAAATGTGAACCTCCATAAGAGCTCCAGTTTCTCTAACCCTCCTTACTTAAAGGCCATCACCCTATGTTTATCCCAGCTATCAGGTGTCTTGGGAGGGGTGGACTACATACATACCTAACTTTTGTGTGTGTGTGTGTGTTCTCAGAATCAAACCCACATTATTACACTTGTCAGCCCAAGGTTTTACCATTATACTAAGCAATGGCCCCTCCCCTCCTTGCCTTCACAAAATTTATTAAGACTACATATGAGAAACCAATTCCAAAATATAGGAGGATTTATTTACAAATTGCACTGCATAAAAAAGTCTCTACTACTCTCATCATCAATAAATACTAATCAGACTTGCTTTCAATGCTGTAGAGGGATACTGTCCGTGCCGCTTCTGAATTTGCAGTAAGAAATCAATTGCCCCCACATATACGGGATCAAATGTTGTCTCACATATGTCTGAAGTTCAAAACTGAAGGGTTGAAACAGAATGAGACCTTGAATGGTCTACCAAAGGCCATTCGTTCAAGCATAGCACACTATCTTTTCTTCCATGTCATTCATAAAGTCTATCTCTTTCAAGGGGTTTCAAGTGATCTCCTTTTTCAACTGGTATTAGTTACTATATGTCATCAAGCTTTCACAATTGGCTATTGTTTATTGTTTTTATTCATAATAAGTTAAAACACACACACACACACATCCTCAGGTAAGGGGAAGTAAGAACCAATACACCCAGCACAGCCAATTGCTGACATATTTTAAGTTGCGTTACAAAAGCATGGGTTGTGTTGCAGCTTCCCAGCCATGAATTGCAGAGTTCATTTTGTAATATTTACACATATGAAATCTTCCTCAAAGTTTCACGACATTAATGATGTCTTTCCTTCCATAATAAGGTTTCAGAAATGGAGGCCGAATATTTTCCACCCAAGGAAGAAGTAATTCTGCAGAATGAAACTCCAACAGATCTTTATATATTGGTTTCAGGAGCAGTGGTCAGTGATCTGAATATCCATTCTTTTATTGGAAGCTGAATCTTTGATTCTGAGATAATAGTAGTTGACCCTCCACAATGCCTGCTGAGTAATTTAATCTGGTGCACGATTGGTATTTGGTTGCAGGATTTTATAGCACATATTGATGGGCATGACCAAGTAGGCATCCTTTCTATGTCCATTGTCCATGGACCAAAGCACATAGAGCAAATCTAACTTCAGTTCTTCTGGTGTATCATATACAGGTCCTTCAAAAGGAAAATGCAGGGGAAATGTTTGGGGAGATAGGAGTTTTACGTCATAGGCGGCAACCATTCACAGTTAGGACCACAGAACTTTCTCAAATCCTACGGTTGAACAAGAATTCACTGATAAACATTATTCAGGCAAATAGGGAAGATGGAAACATTATAATGAACAACCTTTTCCAGGTACATGATAAATTGGATAGCCCCTTGTATGATTAAAAATGAAATCTTTCTAATAGCTAGAACTTTTCTTTTAGGGGGAAAATGTGTGTATATTCCCACCTTCCCCAATTGGTGTGTGTTTGTTGGGGACTGGGGCAGGTGATAAAGTTAATTCTTTTATGTTCCCCTTTGTGCAGAAACTAAAGGAACTTGAAAGTTTAGGCTTTGGAGAAAGACATATGGAGCCAGGTTTAAACCTCAACGAGTGGCTTCATCAAGAACCACAAAAAGGACACTTTTATTTTCATGTTGGAAGTGAAGAAGATTGTCCACATGCAGACTCAAATCAGGAAACAAGTGACATGAAGATTCTGGAATCAAGGGCTACAGGAAGGGGTGAAGAGAACACAGTCTATGATCTCATCAAATGGGGAACTGATGTTAATGCAACAGATGCAGATGGCCAAACAGCCCTTCATATTGCCGTCCGCAAGGGGCATGTTGAAATGGTTAAGATTTTATTAGAAGGAGGAGCAAATGGGAATAAACCAGATGCTAAAGGGTGGAGACCACTGGATATTGCTGAGCAACAAGGACCAAAAAGCATTTATGACCTCTTACTATATTACAAAAATAGGAACAGAGATTCAGAAGTTCATAGAATAGATTTCATTGAGACAAAGACAGAGACAGTCAACCACATTGGGAACAATTGGAGAAAAGATAGGAGAAATGAAAATCCCAATTTCACAAACTCACACTTCGGAAAGATAGCACCAAACTCTAGTTCAAGCAGCTATTGTTGTCCCAGCGATAGCCAAGCTACAAAGTTGACCAACAGAAGAGTCACAATTCACATGCCCTCTCGAAAGGAAAATACAATGCAAGAACAGTTTGGGAAGTTAATAGTTCTACCTGATTCACTGGAAGAACTACTCAATGTTGCTGGTAAGTTTTGTTTAATCTCAAAAGAGTATTGGGTTACAAATGTGAAAATCTGGAGCAAAAACAGTAAGTATTATATCACTTAAATCTGCTTCAGATAAATATAAAAGTGGTAGGGATATAACCCAAACCTTCTGAACAGAAACTTCGAGCATTGAAGTTAGATAAACTAATCCATGTAAAACAAGATTCTTCTTTCTCAATTATGCTATATCCATGTGTCATACAAGTACCTTGTCAAACTGCAGGTCAAAAGTTCCCAGGTTACCATCCCACAAAAGTTGTCAGTACAGAGAATGCAGAAATAGAAGACATCAGTGTTATACGAGATGGAGATCATCTCTTTCTCCTTCAACCTGAGCATGAAACACAAATTGCAGAGTGACATTAAGCATTATTGGAAGAATAGGCCTACAATGTATAGATACAGATATTTTGTAACATATAGGCAATTTATGATGAGAATAAAAGAAACAGATAACAGATGTCAATCAAACTTGGCCTCAAAACCAACAATCACACTGGAAAATTTAATCCTGCAATTAAATTTCACCACAGTTAAACCCATGATAGCCAGTGCAAGTCCCATCCATCTATCATAGTTCCCAGGAATTGGTGAGCTATATGCACACAGAAAAATCCAAGGAGCTCTTTCATTCTATGAGTTCTGAATGTGATACAAAGGATGATCAAATCCCTGGTGCACTGCAAAGGGGAAAATAACAAAAGAAAAATTGTGATGCTTGGCATGATTGCTGTGACTGCTCAGCCACTTTAAATATTCCTCAGTATCCCTGCCAGCCCTAGTTCATTGGCACGTGTAACAGCAAAGACATGTTAAGATACTTTAATCAGACTAAATTAACCGAATCAAGTTTGCTTGCATCCAGGATTGAAAACAAGTTTATCAAAAGAAATAACCATTCTGTCCTGTCCCCGATTAGCAGGTATAATACTTCAGTGTCTCTTCCAAGAAGAAAGCTCCCATCTTGTCCCTTCTTTGAGGGATTCAAGGGTAACATCATCTAGAAAATTACAACCCCCAGAGACCCAGAATCAACACTTGTGTATTATTCAAAGATCTGCCAATGGCAATCACAATGCAGTTCAAGGCACTAAGAAATTAAAAGAGGGGGATGGAAACATGATTATTTATACAATTTGGTGATATAGAAAGAGGAACTTTGAACTACACAATTTTGTTTTATTTTCATTTTTTTCTCTTTGAGCCCTAACCCTCTTCTTCTTCTCTCCTGCCTCCACCCTCTACTCCCCCACCGCCACCTCCTCTCTCTCTTCCTTTATGTGAAGTGTTCTACATCCTTATGAGCAGAAAGTTGGATACTAAATGAAGCAAACTAATTGTTCTAAATTTTAAATACCAAGTTGCAAAGGGAAACTGGGTAAAGTCACAAAATTTATAGCAGCAGAGGGAAACTTCGCCCATGCATATGTCTACCCAGAATCTAGCTTTATTACATGAGTCAGCGTGATACAAGATGTGATTAGAAAAGTAAAAAATTGGAAGAACCAATGAATTACATGGACAAACAAGAGGTTCTCGATCCTGAAGGCTAGAAGTTTGGCGAAGGCCAAATTTGCTTTTAACCACTAAGTACCATAATCTGGCGAAGCCAGATTTCACTCTGTTCTTCTAAACCAGATGATCAATTAGTAACTATCAATTGTATTTTTTATACTTATGATTATAACCTAATTCTCGATTTTATGAGTTATATGTAAAAAGATAATAATTTTATATGTTGCTTCATAGTTCTACTAAAGAATTTGCTCAGGAGGAATGGAACTTTTATAGTATTTCTTATTCCATTTGATATTCTATTTGTTTATGATTGTAGTAGAAATAGTTTAGCTATAGATTTCATACCAACCTAGTTGGAAGTATTGTTTGCTCTTAATAGAGGTAATGGTGGTTAGATTCAACTAAATTTAGTTGAGGAAATTTTTGAGTGAGCTCATATTCTGATGCAAACATGATGCTCATTTTCTGTTGTGCTTTCTTCTTCTTAACTATCTTGGCACAAATCTACATGCTATTGTTTTGCAAGTCATTCTCCTTTTTTATGGACTTTTAACCATGAGAAAATGCTAGTGCCTTTCTGAATGGAGGAGGGTAGCTCTGCCCATGAATCACAAAAACAAATAAAACTCAGGTTCCAAGATAGATTTTCTACAATCACAAAACCACCAGAAAGATGGAGCATTGTGCGCTAGCCAGTCCACAACCTGATTTGCATCATGATACGATACGCATGACGAAAGATATTGTTGGAGTTGAAGAGGCGACATGCACTAAGGCATTTTTCGACGATGTTCTCTAATCTCCCCGGCCCCGGGGGCTTTACTGTCTTCCCCAGGCAATCAATGACGAGCTTAGAATCATCCTCAATCACCATCAGGAAATCCTTGAAGTTGCACCTCTATGCTGCTCAAGTTTTACAATTAAATTATGCCAAATTAACCACTTTTCATGATAGGATATTAGGATGTAGCAGACCCAATCACACCCAACTCATAATAAATTGACTACATCTGTTTCGTGGATAAATCAACAAAGAATTTTTGGTAATGTGCATAAGAGACAAAAAAAAATATATATTGATAAAGCTACTCTAGGTACTATACTTGGTTAATAATATAATGAAAAACATTTAATTAAATAATATCATATTCAAATTAAGAATTAATAGACAAGTTCAAAATTAATTAAATGGATGAAAACAATATATAGTCATCAGGTGAAAAGATTATTGAAATGAGTGGTAGGAAACCTACCTTAATTCATCTTCACCTCAAAGGAAAAAAAAAATGAAGCAACTAAATAAACACCAAAGGGAGTTGTTTTTTATGGGAAAATCAGGAATTCTTACCCTCACTAAGTCTTATCGTTGGCCTATTACCCAAGTCCCAAACGATAAAATTGTGGTCTGCGGTGATCGTGTTAGACAAGGGAGAATGTTGTATACTTGTTTGGGCCTCGGAGCCCAATATTCCTCTTCCTTGTCTAAAAGCATTAACCCATTTGCATGTGGTCTATAAGGCTCAATTAGAACCAGATCCAGGTAAACAAACCCACTCTCTCTTTAGTCTTTATTGCATCTGGATAACTAATTCTGGTCCCGTGTCTCAGTTTTGGGCTTCTTTTATCATACTCATATCACTTCTGGGCCACTCTCAGTTTTATGTAAAGGTTTCATATTCATTTTTTGTATTATTTATGTTTAGGCCCATAACAACCAATCCTGGCCCAATACGGGAAGTTTTTATGGTCCATATCATCATCGTACAAAACGATAAAGAGCCCATCTGTTGGCCCGTTGGATCCATTCAATCTATCAAACAATTCGGGATCCAGCGGCTGAACTATCGTGACTATCCAAATCCGATGGTGGGTCCCCACTAGATACTAGAGACAGTACCCACACTCCGTGATATGCTCTAGTCAAGGGACACGTGGCAAGTTTTGTAGGCCCTAGATCCATAAGTAACAGACCAAAGATCTCTGGCCTTCAAAGCAAAAGCTCGTGAGAGAGCGAGCCAAGCCTGGAAACCAGAAGGCGGGAAGAGGCTTTCAGATTTAAAGTTTTCAAAGCCAGAAGGAGGAGGAGGAGGAGGAGGAGGAGAACGGGAAGGGAGAAGAGATGATCGAAGGAATCGGCGGATTTGTTGAGGAGGATGACGATTTCCTGTCACTGGTGGAAGCAGCGGAGGCGAAGGCCTTGTCGAGCTGCAACAAGCGGAGGAAGATCGACGGAGATGTTCCCGAGAAGCGTGAGGAGGGGGCTTACACCGCCGCACTCAGAGGCAGCAATAGCCTCTTATGGCAGCAACAGATGTCTCCCTCTAGATCCCAAGGGAGAGTGAAGGTTGTCGTTGCCACCGGCGGCCCCTCCGTTGGTGCAGGCGGTGAGACGGGCAGTAACGCAGGAGCTTGCTTTAAATGTGGGCAGTTCGGACACTGGTCTCGCGATTGTGGTGCTTCCGGAGGAGGTGGAGGAGGACCGGAGTATGGAATTAACAATTACAGTAGTAATAATAACCCTTCTGTGCCTGAGAAGCCGTGCCCCTGTGGAGTTGGGTCTTGTCTGGTTCTAACTGCAAACACTGAGAAGAATCGCGGTCGCAAGTTCTACAAATGTCCCGTCAGAGAGGTTAGATCACTTCCAATGCTCTTAACCGCTCCCTCTTTCTATATAGCTCAAATTTGATCCATTTGGTTGGACGCGAACAGATTTTAGATCTGGTTTTTAGATTTTGGCTGCTTCTTCCGTAATTGGGTAATTGTATCTTTTGTTGGGAATTGGTGGGAGTATTGGATAATCGATATGTTTGTTTTCATTATTATTGTTCAGTGGAAAACGGAAATTGGTTAGCTGAAGTTTAGTTATAGCATGCGGTTCAAAGGGATGAACATTTTTGTACGAAAGTGGTTGCTTTCCATTATGACGATTTGTTTATAATATTTGTGTTATGAAATTACCTTTTTAGAAGGAAATCAAATCAATGGTTGCTCTATGTTGCCTTAGTTTTTGTTTTATCTGGTGGGGTTCATACATTGAGTGTAAATTTTATTACATTTCGGATCCATAAAAAATATTACGTTTCTGAGAGCCTGAGTTATATTATCAGTTGTCACATATTATATATTATACCTGTGGGTGCATGCTATTTCAGTCCACAACAATGCATCAACAGTCAGTTTCACGCATTTTTGACAGGAATGGTTTTCCAATTTCATTTTAATTGGCTTTTTTTTTATATCGAATGGAGCAGGAAAATGGAGGCTGTGGCTTTTTTGAGTGGTGCGACAATTCATCAGGAAGTTCAATATTAACTGCAGCCCAAAATTATACATCAAATTCATGCCCAGACCTTCCATGTCCATGTGGCGCAGGAACTTGCTTGGTTCTGACTGCGAAGACTGGAAATAATATAGGCCAGCAGTTCTACCGATGTCCTGCAAACCAGGTTTTTTTATTTGATTTAGATGGTTTTTGATATATCCTGCAACTAGAAGGCTGACTTGAATATGAAGATCATGGGAAGCCTTCATTTTATCTGTTACTTTTTTTTGGATGAATAACTCTATTTGTTACTTTTTCCAAGCTAATGTTGTTTGTCCTGGAACTTGTCATATGCCATGGTTTCCTGACAAGCTGAAGCAGTTGATATGGAGATTTAGAAGAAATGGATATTTTTAATCCTGAATTAAACTATTTAAACAGATTAGTGTCTCTCTTGACATTTAAAAAATTTAAGGTAGGGCTATTACTCAATATTAGTCCCAGCTATCTAAGATCTTGGGGGGGTTGACTGGACATGGACCTAAACTTTGACATCTTTTGCTCAAAGTGGATGGTCTCAGACTCAAACCCACGCTCTCACACTTAACAACTTGGAAGATGATAAGTGTGAAGAGTTTGTTCAGGATATAGAACTAAGCCATTACAGGATATTGTTGAGCCTGAAGATGATAATGTTGAGAAGGATGCTTCAGATGTTGAGGAAGTGATCTTGGATGAGACTCATGTAGTTGAGGGGACAGTTGATTTGGAGGTGGTGGAAGTAAGGCTCTGGGGTTACATAATATGGAAGGGAGGATTTTTCTAGTAAAATGTTCAAAATTTTGGAAGAAAGATATTCGATGCCTGTGACAGACAATGGAGATTCTAGTGTGGATTCGGAAGAGATTTCTGTCAAATCAAGGTCAAATTGTGACCAAAAGAAGTTAAGTTCGCTTAACGAAGGTGGGGCTAGTTGTAAATGAGAGGAAGAGGTGATTTCAGGTCAGTTTTTTTTTTGAGAGGTTCCTGTTTTTTTTTTTTTTTTTTAATTTTCGGAGTCTGAACAGTTCGTTCATTCCATTTTTTGTTATTCTAGGGTTTTGGTCATGTAATGTTCAGTTTAGGGGGGTTGTTTCTGTTTTTTTTTTTTTTCTTTTCTTTTCTTTTTCGTTTAAAGGGGTTGAGACTGGTTGTTGGACATGAAATGCTTCCTTTTCTCTCAGGTGACTGCTGGTCACATTCCCTTGTATTCTTTTTCTTTATCTTTTTTTTTTTTCTATAGAACCTTTTTCTTTTATTATCCAAAAAAACTACTTTGTATTTGTCCAATGCACCAAACAATGGTCCCTGTCACGCCCAATGAGACTCAAAACTACAATCACCTAATTAGGAGTAAGGTAAAATATGGATGACCAAAGCCATGAATTTTTGAGCCTTTATAACCTAGTGGTCATGAATGTTTAGAGTCTTCTCTGTTAATCATAATGAGAAAATAGAAAGAATCATAGAAATTAAAAGTTCCATGCTACTCCTTACTTCCTTCGTCCTACAATTCCATGTTATATTTTGGGATTGTTTGGTTTGTTGGGAAAACTGTTTTAAGTGGTTCTGCTTTGGTTGGAAGTAGTTCAACAAACTTGGCTTGATTTGAGAACTCAAGACATGTATCCCTAATCTTGACACGTTTGTTTCAAGCATAGGCAAGTAGCACTAAGTTGACAAACAACATATTTTGTGTTAAGAAGGAAGATCAAAGATGAAAAGCATATGTTATTTTAGTGTTATCTAGCTACAGATGTATGGAACAAATGACCAAGTTCTTTGATCCATAGCAACAAATGCTTTTTATTGATAGACCTATTACTATTAGATTGATCATTGATTTGATTGAAACATAAGGATACTATAGAGGCAATAGGAGGTTGATCAAGTGTATCCTAAAGGTAGAGACCAAACTTCAGGTCCATGTTCAATTGCCTTCTTTATAGCTAAGTCCCGAAAGATGCAAAGAGAAGGAAAAATGTTATGCTACATTTCAATGGACAGACAACTTTCAGTCAAACTTTTAGTAGAGGAAGTGAGGAACTTGGGAACATGTAACCCACAAGACAAGTTAAAACTTGGTAAAACATCTATTGCTCCTTTTCAGGAAATGGAAGGAAAGGATTGATCAGTAGTGCAGACTTTGTCTTGTTTATAACAAGAGGAAGTAAAAGACCAATCAGAAATCAAGACTTTATCTTGATTAGAACAAAGGGAATATGAAAACAAATTGGAGTTACTTGTTATATGATTGGAAACACTTGAATCTATAGTACAAGAATTGCTTGTGGAGAAATTTGAAGCATGATTAGCAAATTGAGTATTTGAATGTGGCAAGGACTCAAGGCTAATGATGATGAAACCAATTTAACAAAATTGTCCAGTAGAAGGCAAACCCTCTTCAAATCTTGCTTGGAGATAGTGATTTTCTTTGGTGGAGGAAGAAGATTAATTAATGAAAGTGCTTTGTGGTGGGATATCACTAAAAGATTTTTCCTTGGATGCATTATTCGCTTTCTTCTTTTGATATCTATTGCCTAAATTACCATTCATGCAAGTCAAAAAAAGTGTCTTTATTGTGGTTTTTCTGATTACATTGTGTCCACTTCAACTCTTCACTACTAGTGTCTTTTGTAATTTCTTGTGGGACTTCTTGCTTATGATTACTATTGTTAGTAGTGATCAATGCTGGGTGATCATTACTTGGGTTCTCTTGCATTGCTTACCTTTTGCGTTCTTCACTTTAGACCAAGGAATAAACCTAATTTAGGGTAGGAAGAATCTCTATGTATTTATGTAAAATCTGTATTTGTGCTAGCTAAAATTTCAAGTTCTGACCTATAGGGAGAAAGATAATTTCTTAAACTGCCCCTGAACTATCTTACAATTATTTAAACTACCCCTCAACTTTAAAAAATACCCCTAAACCTTCAGAAATTTGACTTTAAGTACCCTTTTGTCAGTTGACTGTCAGAAACCACGTACGTGTGATGTGTTTAAATTTTCAGAAACCCGATTTTGCCCTTATTTAGCCATTACTTGGGCTACTTAAGCCCAAGTTTATGGTTGGGCACTGATGTAGAGGATGTAGCACTTAATTATGAAGAAACACATGACAAATCTAGAAGGAACAAGAAAGTGAAGCATTCCTGTGCTTGAATTTAGCTATTTTCTTGTTTTAATTTTGTTTTGATGATTTTCTAGGTTGCTTCTCAGTCAATTGATGATTTCTAGTGCATTATTATTGTTAGGAAGTCTTATAGGGGTATTTTTATAATTTCAAGGTTTTATTGGCTGCTGACCTAAACAGAATCCCTATATAAGAACATTATTAGCTGCTGTTCAAAGGAAAAAAAGGAGGATATACAATTACTTCAAGCTTAAGAAAGCTGTTTTCTCTTTCTTCACTATATTTTCTTTCTTTCTCTTGAATTTCTCTAACAGTTTGGGTGATTTTTGCCGTGAAAATCACTAGAACAGATCTGCTAGATCTGTTCTGCATTAGGTGGAATTAGAGCTTGGGTTTTCTCTCAGACATGGCCAACAACAATGCTTCCAGTGATGGATCTGAGATTCTCTTAGCCATCAGAGAGTTACAATAGTAACAAGCTGCATGCTTTCAAGGTTTAGAAGCTACTATTAGGTAGTTGACTGAAGCAAGCACTAGGATTAATCTCCAGCCGCCTAGTACAACCCTGACCTAAAAGGAAACTAGGGGTTTGCGTGCCGTACCAGCAAAGAGAGTTGATCTAGGGAATCAGTTTCAGCCATGGGTAGTGGTCCAGCCCCAAGAACAGCCATGTTTCCAAGCCCTAGCAACATCCTTTGGTTTTAATGATGAAGAGGAAGATTTTAATGATTTTGAAGATGAAAATCAAGGTATGGGAAGGCCAATTGATGCTAGACGGTAGGGATGATCATGGGTTGGGCTGGGCCGGGCTTTGCACTTATCATAAGGGCTATAGCTTAGGCCCGGGCCCGGGGTTCCGGGCCTGTAACATAAGCCCTAGCCAAGGTCTACACGGGCCCGAGCCTGATTCCGGGCCAATGTCTTTCATATATAAAACATTACATATCTATAATATTTTATATTAAATGACATAACATGCATATA